TTTTAGATGAACCCTAAAGAAAGTAAAACTAGATTATCAAATATCCAATAAATTCACTTCTACACTAATTTTTATGGCAGTATCTGTTAGCTAACATCTACTACAAAGAATATTTTCTCATATCCTTACAAGTGGAAGATTTCATCTACAATAGAGGAATGGCAACCCTTTGAAATATGAACATGTTTGTAGGGAAAAGAGCCTATTTAAAATATTTTCAGGTTAATTGAGGAGAATGTCTTGACGTGGCACACATATGAATACAAGAAGATATAGCATCACATTTTAAAAAGATGGGGTGAGGGGAATAGATTTTGGGATCTTTATAAGGTAGATTACCCTGTATTATGCAATACTGCTAACTAGCCATGTTGGCAAGAAACACCTTCCCGCACAGACTTCCATGATTCCAAACAAGGAAATGAGTCGATGGGGAACTTTTCTTTAAGCACAAAACAGTAGCGGAGAAGTCAATTATAGGTGCAAGTCATGAATCCATTTTGTTTACAGGGAATTGTGTTACTTGTGTAATTTTAAGGCAGCAAAATGAACCTACTCACAAGGGGGAAGAAAGGACTTCTTCAATCATGGAAGATTTTGATCCATGGCTCCTGTAATATTATGAAATAGATGTAAATTATTAAGGACTTAAAACTGTGAAAAACACAAGGATCTAGTTTGACCTGTGTATATATATTAAACCCTGTGCTAGAAAATTATAGTATATACATTTTCAAACACAGATGCATGACTAAAATATTCCCCAGTCAATCTTAGGTAAGGAGATATTTCATTCCAAAGGATTATTACCATAGAGACAATGCTCCAACCACAAAATCTGCAGATGTCTCAAAAGTGTGACACAAAAGAGCTTTTATTTTATACCGAGGGGTAAACAGGGCTACAAAAAAATCCCGTATGGGGGACTAGATGAGTAGGTGGCACAACTCAGGGAATATTTTACCCTCAACGTACCCACTTCTGGGGGAAAAGTGGTATGGGAGCGAGGTAGTTCTGAATTACAGTGCTCAAGAGTGCCCCCAAATTCTGAGGCCATGGGGGCTGAGAGAAGCTAAGTAACGTTTGATGAAATCATGCTAAGAAGTATTCTTCCCATTGATGAGTGAGGACAATCACTGACAAGGCAAAGGATGGGGATTTGGAGGATCTGTATTTCGCTGGGTCCTAAGTAAACAAGGAGGCTCTCACAAGTCTTACGGAAATTAACAGGGAAGGCTTGGCTTTGCGAGTTCCTTGGCTCACTTGGTGTGAGTGGATGGGCATGTT